GCACATGTGAGCGACGACAGCATTTCGTGCTACAGATGCATATATGATTGAATACGGATTGACATGCGGTGCAACTCAATGAAAATGGATTCTTCTAGGCCCGTTAATTGACATCGAATTCCTTCAGTTGGGATTGGACTCAGCCGGCGGCGACCATGAGTAAGAAGTGAGTGCTCTTTTAGTTCCGACAAGAGTTAGATTCCAACAATATCGGAGGGTAAAAACCAAAAAGAAGCCCCCAAGTGCGCTTAAGACATTTGACAAGCATAACGCTAAGATGATTGCATCAAGTCTACTATCAAGTCTAACATTCTTTGACTTCGTCACTTCAGCCATTAACCTGTTCATGCTTCTATCTCATCCAGCGCCACATAACCTGTCTCGTCTGCCTTCCCGTGCTTTGCACCCGCAGCCGTCGACCGTCTCTCTTCCACACGCCCCTCACCACTACCGGCGTTCGCTGCACTGCCAATTGTTAACCCCTTCCCCTTCCCCTCCGCTCTGAAGCTTCCACCTGAGCCGCAATCTCCAGCAATAGGATCACCAATTGCATTACAGGCACTCTCTTGATATCCACCCGCAGATATGTCCGTCGCATTCACGCCCCCCTCGCTCGTCTTCTCCAGTGCCGCATCGACGCCGTCCCCCAAAACCCCCAGACCCCGAGCGTCCCCGGCGACCGGCGAGCGGGGGGATCCCCCAACCGCGTCCTCAATCCGCTCCTTCCATCCCAGCACAGCGTCCCGCGTACCGCCCAATACCGTCTTGACAGCTGTCATCAGGCCCTCCCCCAGCTTCGACACCTGATTATGTGGGTGAGGAAATTTATCCGCTCAGTTTCCGTCGTTGATTTGTCATTCGAGAAATATCCACTCGGTGTCCGTCGTAGATTTGTCATTCGAGAACACCTGACGACAAAAGAAGCACTCTCGAGAAACCGAGAAATGCTGGAATCAGGCTCTGAGCAATGACATTGACGATAATAAGGTCATCTGCTAATATCCCAAAGGAAGCTGTTTCATGACAAGGAGTCCGTTGGCACTTGACCTACAGTGTTTAATCAACCCTGAGGTTTCATCATAATGACTCCTGCAGCAAATCACCAGGCAAATCAAATACAGAGTGATCCATCGCTTAGGAGCTTCGCCAAAGAAAGGATGGCAGAGGGGAGTTCCACTTCTTTGAGGGTTTGTATAAAAAGCCATGCCAAGAAAAACCCTATTCCTTACCTGGACCACTTGCGCCTGCTCCGCCATCTCCGCAATTTGACTCGCCGCCGACTCGCCCCCAGGTGTCATCCCCGGGTTGAAGTACTCGGGCCCAGTGGCGCCCCACCGCTCGTTGATCAGCTGCTCCGTGCGCTGCCACGCCAGCCTGGTGACGTCATCGTCGGACACGGGGGTCCCCGTGGTGACGACATTCCCCGAGCCGTCGTCCACCTTGGCCTTCCCCTTCTTGGCGCGCTCGGACTCCGCGAACCCCGGCTCTGCGGGTTCCTCCAAGATTTCGGTCACGGTCAATCTCGGTCTCCCGCTCCAACCGTGGTTCAGCGCCTGCGCCGTTCTCTCCCAGGTGCCACTCTCAGGGCCCTCCTTTTTCCCCCGCTCCGCTTGCATTTCCTGTGCGCCAGCTCCGTTTCCGGTCGTTGGACCCTTCAGCCACTCCTCGGACAGGTCCGGCGCTCCTCCCACGTCCGTGCGTCCGCTTCGCCCGGCGCCTGGCTCGTCCGTTCGATAGATCTCCGCCACGCCGCATCCGAACAGCTCCTTCTCCTTCTCCACCTCCTCTTCTTCCTCTTTCTTTCCCTCTGCACTTCCCTCGTCCTTCGCAAGCCCCGCCTTAATGTGCTTTTCGTCCTCACTCTCACTTGCACCTCCCTGCTTTTCCTTCTTGATGCCCCCACGTTCTCCCCCTTCCTCGCTTTCCCTCTGCCCCTCTCCCGTGTCTCCTTTTCCCCCACCTCCGTTTCGATTTTCCTCTGCCCTTGTCGCCACCTCTCCCGCTTGCCCCTTCTCTTTCTCATCCTCCTTCGCATGTCGTACATTCTCCGCTTCCTCTTGTCGGTTCACGTCCTCGCCGTTCCCGTAGTCTGCCCCGGCCCTTTTCCTGCCTGCTTCATACGACACAGCCTCCTCATCTGAGTCTCCCCACCGATCATTCTCCTTCCCCTCCCCTCTTTCGCTGGCCTTTCCTTGCACCCCGTTCAGAGAACCTGTGACTGCGTTATACTTTCCTGCCAGCGTTTCGTTTGTCCTGCCGCCCTCTGTAGCCTCTTGCGAATCGTTTTCTTGAGCACCGCTCTCCTTGTGTTCTTCGCCAGACTCCCCCCTTTTCTGATCCGAAATTGGCCCTTTCTGCTGCGGTCCTTTCTGGGGCTCTGAATGGGCCTCTCCTCCATTCCTCCCAATTTCCCCTCCCTTCCTCTCTTCATCACATCCCTGCAGATCCTCTTGCGCTCTCGCCTCTCCCTCACTTTGCCCTTGGCCGCTCTGCTGACGCAACTGCTCCTCCTCCTTCGCTGACCTCACTCCTTGCTCCGCTGACATCACACCCTGCTTCGATGATGCCACCTTCCGATCCGCTGACATCACGCCCTGCTTCGCTGACGCCGCCTCTCGGTCCGCTAAGTCCGCTCCCAGCTTCGCTGATGCCAACTCTTGATCCCCTGACGTCACGTCCGACTTCCCTGAGTCCACCTCTTGGTCGATTCGTTTCATCTGCTGCTCCCAAATCTCCTTTCTCCCCTCAATTACTGCTGTCTGTAAAGCTTCAACGGCCGCACGCACGTCCATAACCTCCGACTTCTTCATAAACTGAGACATTCTCTTATGCCTGATTCTTGAAAAGCGCACTTCTCTTCTCAAACCCGGTCGTTTGCGTCTTGGTCATGGGCTTTGGGAATCTCTTCACTCTCGTCAGCTGTCGTTTCCTCTGCAGAAAGAACAGCGGTGGATAAAGTTACACACTGACCAAACAGCAGTGGTTTGTTTAGTACAGGATAAGAGTGGTTCGTTAGTACAGGAAAAGAGTGGTACCGTAACCAGATCCTTTGTACAAGTTAAGAGTGGTATCATAACGAGAATATACTAGTGGTTTGTTATCCAGATGTTAGGCTGAAACCCCAATGCGTTGGCAAGCAGTGGTTAGTGGCTCTCTCAGCAAAGCTGTATGAAGAAGGCACTGGACAGACTGTGAGCCCTAGCTTTTCAAGTAGAGGGTGAAAATCAGATCCTTTAAAACATCAATCTTCTCTTGCATTTCATCAGAGAATGTCAGAATGCTGAACGACGGTTCTGAATCAGCAACCTGCCACATATCGAAGAAAAGCTACTCCAGCATCACCAAACTTGGCGTAGTTTTTTTATGACCTTTTCGCCCTGTTTTTGATCTTTGAACGGGCCGCAGACATCACAACGGAAGGCCTACAAACAAGAGACAGTTCAGCAGCTCAAGCATAAACCCGTTGTCAGCAGCTGACACCATGTTTCAGAGCTTAAATATAGCGTCTGCAACAGAAAAAGTCAAATTGGTGGCTGCTTTAGCCAGGCACCGTACTTCAGCATTTTGATACGTAATCATGGCAGCAGTACCAAGCTTGCAGCATAGGACAAATCAAAGGAATTGGCCGCTGAATTGCTGACTTTCCACCACTAGCGGACACTTCCACTGGGTGGTGTCAATGTTGATGCAATGTGTAGATGCATGCAGCTCGAAGCAGCTACAATCAGAAGTGACGTCTTCCTTTGGAAGGGGCAGTCCCCCATTGGACACCTTCCACCATGACAAAACCCCAACATCTGAAAAGCACACCCGTAAATCAGTGGAACACTAGAAATAAGCTGCTCATAGGGAGAATAAAATCCTCTTTGAAATCAGAGGAAATTAGGCTACAAGAGCGAAGAGAAGCGCATGCCAATCCAACAATATGAGGGGATCCCCCTAGAAACACTCACGGTTGGGCCACACGAAGCTCGTGAACACCTCGTTCACATCGGTCAGGACATTCCCAAGCACCTTGTTCCTGCTCAGAACAGTCTGGTACGGAAGCGGCTCCGTCGTCTGATCGCGTTGGTGCGCTGCCTTCTCCTGTAGAGAGCCGGTACGCCGGTACTTCTCTCTCTTCGCCGCCGCAAGTTCGCTGATGTTCTTCAGCACGTCATGGGGCACCGCGCCCTCGGACTGGCTGTGCAGTTGGTCTTTGGAGAGCTTGAGAGGGTGCTGATCAACTGCGGAATCATGCACCGTCACGATAGTTGAGGGGTTTGCCTGGGAGGGGTTTGAGGCGGCAGCACCAGCAGTGTCTTGGTGATCGGCCATCTCTGGCCTCTGAGCAGAAACCAAAAAGCTCCTGCGCTGAGAGCAGTTGAGAGCAGTTCCCTTCACAGAAACGGAGCGCTCTCGTGCATGAGCTGTCTTGCTTGTGACCTGGCGTTCTTCA